AAGAAAATGTATCATGTACATGCAGTACCTGAAGAAGCCAGAGAGGGGGTCAGGTCTTCTGGAATTGGAGTTACATACAGTTTTGAGCATACATGTGGATGGTGGGAACCAAACCCAGGCCTTCTATAAAGGCAGCAAGTGCTCTTAACATCTGAGCCATCTCTCCAGCCCCTAGCATTGGCTTCTTAAAGTTTTGTGAGGTTTTTTGTTTGTTTGTTTCTGATTGTAAAATAAGTGATTCTTATGAAAAAAAATTAGTCATTTGACCTTTGACTTTCATTCTCTTACCACATCCCCAGGTTATTTTTGATAATTGATTACATATTGCCGGGGCACATGCCAACCTTTGCTTTATAACCATGAGAGGATTCTGCTGGTCACTGTACAGCCTGGTTTGCATATCTGGTTTCCTAGGTTGCCATCCTTCGTGCGATGGCGAGCAGGGTTGGGTACTGACCCCGATGCTGGGCTGGGTACACGCCTGGCATTTTGTGACACAGAGAGCTACCTGCTGCTCGCCACCCTCGGGAGTTGTGTACAGCTTAGATCCCCACTCCACCCGGGGTCAGCCTCTCCTCCTCACTGCAGACACAAGAGTTTTGTTTCTACTTTGACTTCTTAGATTGTGGCTGAGCCCACTGGTGTTTCGTTTGTTGCTCACTCATACTTTCCTTGTGTCCCTGCAGGTTTGTTTGTTTGGGCGTTTTCGTTCTTTTGTTTTTTTGAGTACAATCTCATTATGTAGTAAGAGCTGGCCTGGAACTTAGTGTATACACCAGGCTAGCCTGGAATTCAGAGAGCTCCTCCTGCTCCTGTTCCCCAGGTTTTGGGATTAAAGGTGTGTACCACCATGACTGACTGACTTCTTTATTTCTTTTTTTTTTGGTTTTTTGGTTTTTTTTCCCCGAGACAGGGTTTCTCTTTGTAGCTTTGGAGACTGTTCTGGAACTTACTCTGTAGCCCAGGCTGGCCTCGAACTCACAGAGATCCGCCTGCCTCTGCCTCCGAGTGCTGGGATTAAAGGCGTGTGCCACCACCACCCAGCTTATTCTTATTTTATATTTTTAATGTTTAATTTTTCTGACCTTTATGTCTTCTTTTGGGAACATTGATGAAAAATATTCATACTTTAAATGTTCCCTTTTGGGGCTGAGATTATAGCTCATTTGGTAGAGTGCTTGTCTAGCATGCTTGAAGTCCTGGGTTTGATCCTCAACAACACATAACCCAGTCTTGGTAAAACACAACTGTGCTCCCAGCACTTGGGAGGAAGAGGCAAGAGGACAAGGAGTTCAAAGCCACCCTAAGCCGCATAGTAAATTTGAAGCTAGCCTGGAATACATGAAGCTAGCCTGCCAATCAATCAATCAATCAATCAACCAACCAACCAACCAATCAACCAATCAATCAATTGTTCTCTCTTTTACTTATACTGCTCTGGGCCAAGTTGTCTGTTTCATTGTATTAGTTACTTTTCTTGTTGCTGTGAAAAACACCTGAGAGAAGAGACTTGAGGAAGGATTTATTGTGGCTCACAGTTTAGGGGGACACAGTCTGTCATAGGAAAGACATGGCGGCAGGAGTGGGAGGCAGAGGTCACGTGTGTCCGCAGTCAGGAAGCAGAGAGAGAGATCCCGGGGCTCAGAAGGTTTTCTTCCTTTTCACCCTTTATTGAGTTCAATATTCCAGCCCGTAGGTTGGTGCTGCTCACATTCAGGGTAAGTCTTTCTATAAGTGCCTTCCTTCACAAACATACCAGAGGCGTGTGTGTCTTAGTAATTCCAAATAGTGTCAAACTGACATGAGGTTTTGCCCTCCTGCTCTCTCCCCACACCCCTGCTTTGTCTGTCTGCCATTCCGTTATAGTTTTTATGTCCTGTTTCTGTAAATTGTAGCTACTGATATTAGTTAATAATTGTATTTATTTCAGTCTATATGGTGCTAGGGTTAGACCCACAGCCTTACAAATGCTGAGTACACATAGACCAATCCTCAATCCTGGTCTTAAGCTACTGAACAGCTGAGACTATAGGCAGATACCACCATGCCTCCAGTTCCTTTGTTTCTTTTATAGTATTACATTTATTTCTTTAAAACTGTTAAGTTGGGCCAGAGAGGTGGCTCAGAAAGTCACGTTGCCTGCTGCCAAGTTCAGTCCTCGAGACTAACATGATGGAAGGAGAAACCAGTCACCTCAGTTGTCCTCCAGCCTTCACACTGAATCATGGCACATGTATGCCCATATGTGTGCATGAGTGTGAAATACTCAAATACATGGATCCACAAATACATGGATCAGTTTAAAAATGTAAAAACAGGCTAGAGAGCTGATGTAGCAGTTCAGAGCACTTGTTGCTTTTTCAGAAGATCTGGTTCTATTCCTAGTACTCAATGGTAGCTCACAACCATCTGCAACTCCAGTTTCAGGGACTTTTAACACCCTTTTCTGACATCCACGATACTAGACATGCTCATAGTACACATACATACATGTATACAAAACATTCATATACATGAAACAAATATAAAAAAGCTTTTTAAAGATAAAAGTTTGGTGTTTGGTTTGGTTTGGTTTGGTTTGGTTTTGGTTTTGGTTTTTCAAGACAGGGTTTCTTTGTGTAGCCCTGGCTGTCCTGGAACTAGCTGTAGACCAGGCTGGCCCCAACTCAGAGCTCCACCTGTCTCTGCCTCCCCAGTGCTGGGATCAAATGCGTGTGCCATCACTGCCCAACTGAAACAAGAGATTTTTTAAAAACACATCCTTGGCTAGACTTGGTGGTGCTCACCTGTAATGCCTGGGCTGAGGAAGCTGAAGCAGGGGGATTTCAAGTTCAAGGCCAGTCTAGGCTACATGAAGAGACCCTGGGTGAAAATGTAAAGACCCTGGTTTAAAAAAAAAGTTATGTCCTACCAAAGACTTCTCCTAGAAGCTGCGGTGTTTTTCCTTTTCATCCTCCACCCCTTACCCCACTGCTCTGAGGCAAAGCCTGGAGCCTTTTTTCTCCCAATGTGGCCACTGCTCTTTTGGGGACTTCAGCTTCCTGTTGTGACAGTATCTGTCCAAAGCTCCTTCCCAAACCCCTCTGAACATGTTCTCTACCCTGTGGGTCTGAGAACCTCAAGGTGTTCCTCTGGACCCTCCCTCTGCACCCTAAATTCCCCCTCCAGGCTAAAGGCTCACTCCAGGGCTAGGCAGGATGGCCTTCCCAGATCCCGTAGGCTTGGGACAGTTTACTTCTCAGGTCCTACCAGGAACCATCTATGGGTTAACTGCCTATCTTCTTTTCCTTCAGATTTTGACTATTTCTCTAATACACTTGGTTTTGTCCTTCAGTTATTTTATTTCTTTTTGAGAGGAAAAAAAAAGCTTTTCTATCTTGTTTCTGAAAATACAACTTGTTACTCATTCTTTTCGAAGTGGCTGAAATTATCAAGGAAGCAGAGAAAGTAACACATATCCACATGTGACTCCCTCAGGTCAACCCAGCTCTCCCTCCTGGAAGCAGGAAGCTCCTTTCTCCTCCCCTGCCATCTGTGCCCTCCTGGTCACCATCTGATCAGGACGTGGGGAGGTGGGGAGGTTTGGCTCCTATGATCCATGCAAGAGCTGTGTGAGGAGCCTGGCCTTCCCTTCCCTGCAGACCTTTAGTGCTCCTGTCAGGCTAATGTTGTTCCACACATGTGCTCGTGCCCTTCAGCATTCTTCTGTATCGCCATTGCTTCCTCCTCAGACTTCACTGAGTTGATATATCAGTCAGATGTTCCTCTCGCTCCCTTGCACTTAGCCATAACCAAGGGTTACTGATGCGCTGGAGGAGCCAGCTCATAGCGCATGTGTGTCAACAGAATACTATCAGGCCTGGCTTACTCCCTCCCACCCCCCCAGACAGGGTTTCTCTGTGTAGCTTTAGAGCCTGTTCTGGAACTCGCTCTGTAGACCAGGTTGGCCTCAAACTCAGAGATTCACCTGGCTCTGCCTCCCGAGTGCTGGGATTAAAGGTGTACGCCACCACCGCCGCCACCACCACCACCACCACCTGGCTGGCCTGGCTTATTTTTATTGTTTTATTTTGGGCTTTCATTTTTTTTGTTTCCTTATTCATGCTCCTGCCTTTTTGTGTAAGACAGGGTCTCAATATGTATCCTTGACTGTCTGGAGCTCTCTGTGTAAACAAAGCCAGCCTCAAACTCACAGAGATCCACCTACATCTACTTCTTGAGTGCTGGGATTAAAGCTGTGTGCCACCACACCTGTCCCCTCTGCCTTTTTCGTGGACTGTGTAAACTTTCTCTTTTAATTTGTCGTTGCTGTGGATGAACCTAGAGCCTCACATGTGCTGGGCAAGTGTTCAGAGCTTCACCTGCAGCCTGAATTCGTTTTTCTGTTTCTGTGGTTATATGATGGTGGTTAATGCCAAGTCCCATCCACCCTTGCCCACTAGCCACTCTACTCAGCTTCTTTTCCATGTATCTTCCCTGCCTGCATCTTGAGTTTCACAGTTCCCATGGAGATTAGGCAGACCAACCTGGTCCCTGTCCACTATGGAAAATAAAACTGTACTGTGTTCTGTTTCTCCAGGCCTCGACAAAGACAGCGTGTATATCCCAAGTGTACATGGCTGACAACCCCTAAAAGCACTTGGCCCCGATACAGCAAACCAGGTGAGGCCCTGCTGGGTTTGGGGCAGTGACTTAGATTTGGTACTAATACTCTTGGTTCTCTTGGGCAGTCACATTTACTTTAAATTGTTACGATTTTCTATTTCATAGCAAGCTACCAAATATGCATAATTTAAAGAAAGAGGGCAAGGCAGGCGGCAGTGGCACACACCTTTAATCCCAGCACTCGGGAGGCAGAGGCAGGTGGATCTCTGTGAGTTCAAGGCCAGCCTGGGCTACAGAGTGAGATCCAGGGCATGCTCTAAAACTACACAGAGAAACCCTGTCTCTAAAAAAAGAAAGAAAGAAGAACAGCAGTACAGAGAGGCAAGAGGGCATGATGGAAGTGTCCAGAGACCCTTTTCCATGTCTCGATGGACAGGCATGAGAGCCCCTCAGAGGGTAAGGGTGTGTAGCTGTGCTGGTGATGGTGATGTAATAGGCCTGCCTCTCCCCGACAGTCCTGGCTCTTCTGTGCGCGTGAAGACCTGTCTGGGAGCTCTGGGCCTGTGCACTGGTGCCTAACAGTATCTTTTGTCCCTGCCAGGCCTCTTGCCTTGTCAACAAGAACACCTACACATGTAGGCAAGCTTGTTGACCGTGTGGTCCTGCTAGACTCTGGCCTTAGATAGGACTATTTTAGGAGGGGAACTTAGTGACCAAGAATTACTGTCCTATTTAATGGAAATTGACCAGAGAGAAATTCCTGTACACTCAACATTGTACATAAGGAACAGAGAAAAAGCATCTAGGTATAACTCACCATCACCTGTAGGATCTGGTGTAGTGCTCACTGCATAGCCACTTTGGATGCTAATCCCCCAAACCTGAACATGGTGTTCCCACCAGGCAGATACAGTGCTGTAGTCTCTAGTATTGCTTCTAGCCAGCAATACTGACCTGGCACATTTCCCTCCTGTGTGTACTCTGGGTGGGTCTGAGGAAGCAAAACAGACAGGACTCTAGGTCTTGGTACAGCTCACACAGTGTGAGCAGGCCTACGCACTCCGCAAAAGATCTTGGCAGGAATCATCTTACAGCCTGTATAGCATCAGAACTGGCAACGTGCACCAGACACTCAGTTTGAGTTGAGTTCATGTGGCGCATTTGTGCCAGGAACAACAGGAGGACTGTGACTGCCTAGCACTGCAGAGTCCTGCCAAGTGCCACAGCCTGGCCCCCAGCACACACACCCCTGAGCAATAGTCATTTCTTCCAGGTCTGTCAATGCGGCTGCTGGAATCCAAGAAAGGCCTTTCTTTCTTTGCATTTGAGCACAATGAGGAGTACCAGCAAGCACAGCACAAGTTCCTGGTGGCTGTGGAGTCCATGGAGCCAAACAACATTGTGGTGCGTAACCCTGCAGCTCCTGATGGGCAGAGATCAAGTGGTGTACTGTGCCTGGGCCAGCTCCCTCTGTGGTGTGGGGAGGCTTGTCTGAGAGCAGCTGCTTCCCCTAAGAATGGAAGATGCCTGTGTGCAGAGCAATCAGACCTCAGAGGAGAGCCACACTCTGCCCTCAGTTCCCTTCTGCGGACTGTGTGCAGGGCATTGTGGGCTCTTTCCCCGGCTGTCTGCCTTTAGCTTAGGTGATATAGCAGTGGGTATGCGTGGCTCCCTTCTCCAGGTACCCTGTGCCTTTTGTGCTCCCCCAGCCTGTGTTCTGAGTACCCCGTCAGCCCCAAGTGTGGGCCACAGTTTGTAATCACCGAGGACAAAGAGGAGCTCATACTTTGTGCCTTTGTATACCTGACCCCTGAATGATGTCACATTCTTTTGAGGAGAAGAAAATTGCTAATTTCCAGGGCTGGAGAGATGGCTCAGAGGTTAAGAGCATTGGCTTGTCTTCCAGAGGTCCTGAGTTCAATTCCCAGCAACCACATGGTGGCTCATAACCATCTGTAATGAGATCTCTTCTGGCATGCAGGCAGAACACTGTATACATAATAAATAAATCTTTAAAAAAAAAAAAGTTAGTTAGAAAAATAATAATTTCCATGCTCTTGGTTAGGGCATAGAGAGCTAATTAGGCCAGTTTCTGATTCCTACCTTTAACTAGATCAGTGGTTCAGATGAGCCACAACACCATATACCTTGAGTTAAAAGTAGACTATGAGCCAGGCATGGTGGTATACTCCTTTAATCCCACTTGGGAGGCAGAAGCAGGTGGATCTCTGAGTTAGAGGGCAGCCTGATCTACGTAGTGAATTCCACCAGCCAGGAATACATAGTGCAACCCTTTCTCTCAAAGAAAGAAAGAAAGAAAGAGAGAGAGAGAGAGAGAAAGAAAGAAAGAAAAAAAGAAAGGAAGGAAGGAAGGAAGAAAGAAAGAAAGAAAAAAGAAAAGCTAGGGCTGGAGAGATGGCTGAGTGGTTAAGAGCACTATCTGCTCCTGAGTTCAATTCCCAGCAACCACATGGTAGTTCACTACCATCTATTGAGGGATATGATGCCCTCTTCTGGCATAAAGTTGTACATGCAGACAAAGCACTCTATCATAAAATAAATAAATAAAGCTTTAGGGGGAAGAAAGACTGAAAACAAACAAAAAAAACCTATGACTATTTCATTTTTGATCACTTTTCCTAGCATGGGGCACGGCCTGGTGCCAAGGGTTCTACCTGCACTTTTTCTCTAAAACTATCTTCCTTTCCAACAGGTTCTGCTCCAGACAAGTCCCTATCATGTTGACTCACTTCTGCAGCTCAGTGACGCCTGCCGCTTTCAGGAGGATCAAGAGATGGCTCGAGACCTTATAGGTGAGCCAGCTTGCCTGCACAAGCCACTCGAGCCCCTCCAGCTCACAGGCAAATGCTACTTCCTGAGATGACAGAGGATGCTCCACGGAGATAGATAGAACCCACCTGGGTGGGACGTACAGTTGATTGTATCTAGTGCACGCCAGTTGTGTAGCCTCTACCACCCTCTGTACCTGTCAGTTGTAAAGCGCTCTGGTCTGTGTAAGCAGTTCTGTCCTTCGGTCCTGGGAACTGCTAGTGTCCGTTGTCTACAGTTGTGCTTGAAGCGTAGAGTTCACGCAGACGTGTGGCCTTTGTGCTTGGCTTCTTTCGTTTACTGTCTTCGTTATCCCTGTTGGAGTGTCATACTGGCACACTGTTTGTCCTATATGATACTCCATCTGTGTGCAGACTGCACTTTCTGTACCTGTCATCGGCTGATGGACACTTAGGTTGTTTTCTGGCTATTGGAAATGGTGCTGCTGTGAAGACACCTGTGCAGGTTTCGTGAGGATGCATGTTGGCGTACACGCGTGGGTACTTGGTATTAGCAGATCACAGCACCAGTTGTAATCTGGTATATGAAGCATTTCCCTCTGGAGCTTACAAATGTATGTTGCAGTCAACTTAGAGTCATTGAAGAATACCTGGGAAGTCCTGTGTGTGCCCTCTCTCTTTCAGGGTCCCAGTTACATGACCTCCCTCCTTCCAGAACGTTCCTTGTTTTGAGTTGTTAGAGGAGAGAGTTACAGTCATTGTGTCTGTGACACCCTCCTCTGGTATTTGTGGCCCACAGAGAGAGCACTGTACAGCATGGAGTGTGCATTCCATCCCTTGTTCAGTCTCACCAGTGGGACTTGCCGGCTGGATTACCGCAGACCTGAGAACAGGTGAGTTTGGTCCACCCTAGAGCGAGTGATGGGCTACTTTCAAGTCACGTGAGTGACTATTGTGAGTTTAGTGGGGAACAGGTGATGCAAGACTGTCCCTGAGGATGGGTCAGGGTCCTGAAGATCCAGAGTACCTTGTAAGCTTTGGTGTGCTCACAGCAAAGAGCTGGGCTCAGGGAACCAGGCATCAGATTGGTCCAAAATTAAACCTATTCAGGTTATAACTGTTCTAACAAGCCACAGAACAGTGAGGGCAGGAATCATGCTTCCCATGTTTTTGAGGAAGAGACCCATTCCCAGTGAGGTTAAACTATTGTAGAATACTTTGCAGTTGTGTCTCCTGATTCTTAAATCTGAGATGAGCATGGATTCATCTTGACTTCAGGAATCATGCAGAGAGTACTCTCTTTTCCATGTTTCTCTAAGCCCGCCCACCCTCTGGTTTTAGCCCGTACGTGTCCCCCTTCCTCCCTCACATGTAGCACTCTACTTTCTGGATATCCCTGTCTGCCGCGGCAGGAAGTCCCCCACCTTAGCCACAGCCTTTGTCTGCTCTCCTGCACAGTGTTGGGTTCCTGTGTATTGCTTTTGTCTCTTCTAGTTAAACTCTTACTTCTTTAAACAGGTTCTAAAATTAAGTCACCAAGATGACTAAAGCTGTCCAGCTTTATCCATCCAGGTGTAAGGCTATGACAACTGTTAAAGTCTGAGCATAAGTTAAGAGTATGATTATATAGGTTCTAATTCTCTTCCTTTAAATGGTAATCAGAAAACAACTAGCAAGAAGGCAGGTTTTGCCAGGTATGGTGGCACATGCCTGTAGTCACAGCACTGAGAGGTAGGAATCAGTTGAGGTCATCTCTGATTACATAGTAATTTTGTGCCAGCCTGGGCTACATAAGATCTCCTCTTAAGGAAGCAAAAAAGAAAAAGAAGAAAAGAGAGGTTTCACATACACTTGATTGTAGCCTAGCATAGTGGCACCCGTGAACAGACTTAGCATTCTGAAGTAGGAAGATCTCTTGAGCCAGTTTGTTCAAGGTCAGACTTGGCAGCATAGTCAGACCATGTCTCAAAACCAGAAGAGCTTGATTTTCATGTCTAAGTACATTTATAACTAAATAACAAGGAGCACATATTTCCTCCAGACACACAGGGGATGTTCACAAACACTATATCTAGCCACTTAGGAAATGCTGTCTCCACCCAGAGGGCGGACACAGTGCTGGGCCTCTCACTTGTCATGCTCTGCTGCCTTTCTGTCACTGATTCATGGATAACTGTCTTTGATCTAGGAGCTTCTACCTGGCCCTCTACAAGCAGATGAGTTTCTTGGAGAAGCGAGGATGCCCACGTACTGCACTGGAGTACTGCAAGCTCATCCTGAGGTGAGTATTCCCTTTGACTGCATGGCCACCTGTCCCCACCACAGTGGCCCCAGATCTGTGGGGACTCGAGCCATGACCACCCGCCCTCTGTCTCCCTTGTCTCCACTTACTGTGCTGCCTCGGAAGCCTGGAGCCCGATGAGGACCCCCTGTGCATGCTGCTGCTTATTGACCACTTGGCCTTACGGGCCCGGAACTATGAGTACCTGATCCGCCTCTTCCAGGAGTGGGAGGTATGTGGAAGCTGTGTGTCTCCCTTACCTGGCTCAGCTACACTTCTGTGTTTGAGGGACAGTTTTGTGATACGATGGTGAAGGCATGAGTCAGCGCAGGTAGATCCCTAGGGCCTCCTGCTTTTCTGGCTTCCTCATTACCTCTGCTGAACAATTACAGTCTTCCTAGATGGTGTCCCAGTAGCCTTTCGAGAACCCCTGTTCACAGGCCTGCACCAAGTACGTATGCACAAACAGTGGTACTAGTAGTGATGAAAAGTTGGGAAAACCCCAGAACTCACTGTGGTCCACTTAAGAGGCAATCATGAGGCAGAGCACCATCCATATAGGGTTGACACGGGGAACCTCAGCATACAGAACCACATTCTGCAGAAATGCTGGAGAGACAGCATAAACCAGTCCCTTGTGCCTTGCCAGATTTGCATGTAAATAAAAATGAAGAATGGCCTGACACCACACTGCTAGCCTCTGGCCCAGCAGCTGTGAATGCTAAGTACACCAGTACACCGTGGGTGCCCAACATCACCAGGAAAGAACATAACTGTCTGTCCATGACTGTGGACATGTGTCAAAGTGACAATTTCGGTTTATCGAGTTAACTACCGTACTTTAAGATCAGCTCTGCTGTTCTCCATAATGTGACTGCTAGACACTGTAGAGAGTACAGGACTCCCATCCCATCCCATGGTTGGTTCTTGTCAGAGAAGAGAGGCATTGGGTTTTGTGCTGGTTGCTTCCACCAGGGCCTAGTAAGGGCTAAATCATTTTAAGTTACAGAATGTTTGGTGTAGTTGGCCAGGAAGTTTTGCTTGTTGGGATCTGATTTGTAGACTCCCTGGAGCTCATGAGAGCACGGGTACAGGAAATGACAAAGGGCTGCAGGTAAGTGATCATTGTGGCTTATGTAGTTGTAGAATAAAAAGCAGGGCACAGTGGTTTGTGGTGTAACCCCAGTTATTGTAGGGCACAGGGCAGGGGCAGGTGCATTGGCTAGCTAGCCTAGACAGACTGATGCTCTTAGGTGTGGTGAGAGACTTATCTATCTCAGAACATAAAGGTTGAGAAGCAGAGAGACGGCCTCACAGGTAAAGCCCTTGAGACCAGCCTGATGACCTAAGTTTGGTCCTTAGGACCACATAGTGGGAGGAAAGAACCGACGTCTGCAAGTTGTCCTCTGGCCTCTACATGTGCTACGGTGTGCATGTGTATGTACATGTGCACACTAAATATATAGAGTGTGGATGACTTCTAAAAGCTAAGAACTGAGATAGATTTGAAGAATTTGAGGAAAGACCTCCAGCCTCTGCACTCATGTATCTTTGTGCACCACCATACATACCTGATGGAGAAGACGTAGAACAAGTCACCAGCCTTCTCACGAACCACAGAGAAAGAAAGGAAAGCACTGGAAAACACTTCTAGGTTAGGTGGAGTCAGACCTCACTTTTGATGACTTACTTTATAAGCTTCCTGCATAGGCAAGCAGGCTGGCTTCCCTGCTTCCAGAGCTGAGAGTCTAGGCAGGGGACACCCATCGTTAGGGGCCTCTGAGGCCCCGCCTGCTGCTCTAGCATCCGTCATCTGGCTGGGCTGATTCCTATCCTTCTGTGTCCTCTTGTGTTTCCTACATGTAGAAAATGGGTTTTCTTCATCCTGAGTTAAGGTGAGAGGCCCACAAGGAACAGTTGTGGGGCTCACCTGGTATCCACCGTACACTTGTAAACTATGCGTTCTGTCTTCACAAGCTTAAGGCTGCAGACTTCGTTTCTTCGTCCCTTACAGGCTCATCGGAACCTATCCCAGCTCCCAAATTTTGCCTTCTCAGTTCCACTGGCATATTTCCTTCTGAGTCAGCAAACAGACCTACCTGAGCATGAGCTCGCCTCTGCCAGGCAGCAGGCTTCCCTCCTGATACAGCAGGCGCTCACTATGTTCCCTGGAGGTAAGCGCCACCCCTTGTCTGGGGATGAGTCTAGGTCACAGCCCTCCCCATACTTCACGGGAAGACTGCCCTTCCCTAAAGGCCTAAAGACTTGCTGTGGTTCTGGTTAGATAGCTGGTCTACCCACTTCAGTGAGCCTGCTACAAGTTCGGGGAGGGTGGGAAGACAGAGGACAGATGTCTTCCCTGAGGTTTACTTTCGGGATGGGAGAGCAGGGCATTTTCCAGAACACGCAGTATGTTAGATGGTCTTTGGTACTAGAGGGAGAAAAGCAGATGTAGTATCCAGAAAGGCCTAAGGCTAGCCCAGAGGCAGCTTGAAGGGCACTGGCTGTGAGTAGCCAGGAGGAGGCCCTGGTCTACTGTCCAGGCATTCTCACAGACGTGGCCAGGAGAGTAAGGTGATTACCTGCCCAGATCTTTCCTACGAGTGTACTCAGAGTGAAACTGACAAGATTCCTATGGGGCCGACTTCTTTTCTACTAGAAAGTCCTCTGAGTTCCTTGAGCCTTGGCCAGAACTCTGCCTACCCACCAGACCTGAGCAACCTCAGGCAGAAATAGTGCCTATTTGCTAACCCCAGTGAGGGTCAGTTCCATTACTTAGAAGCTGCTTATGCCTTATGCGGTCTGATGTAGCTAGCATTACCTCCTCACAGGATGCTGCAGTATGAGCATGTCCCCAGGAAGTCACTGGGAGGACTGTGTTGGTGGATTACCAGCATGCAGGCTGTTTAGAGAAGCTAGCACTTCACTGAATAGCACTACATGCAAGGGAGCCCTGTGTTGGCCACTGATCTGCTCCTGGTCCCTGCAGAGTTAGCTCTTGCAGGGCACAGTCAGCTCCACTCTCACGTCTGACCTTCATATGATCAAAGCATCCAGCCACCCATGCTTGGAGGGGATAGGCAAGTCTTCCTTGGATGCAAATAGAACAAGAGGCAACAGGATATGCATGGACTTCCCCAGGGTTCAGAGGTACCTTGGAATCTAGTGTGAGAGACCCAGCCTAGGAACAAATTGGCAATGGTGGTCAGAAATGGCCCCTTGGCTATCCAGCTTCCTTTACCTTAAGAATACTTAGTGGCTGGGAGCCATTACAATAAGGGCTGCAGAATACATGGAGCCTTTACCCTTTTTTTTTTTTTTTTTTTTTCAGCTCTTATGCCATTGCTGGAGTATTGTAGTGTGCGGCCTGATGCAACAGTTTCAGATCACCGCTTTTTTGGGCCAGATGCTGAGATAAGGTAACAATGTGAGCCTGTAGGCACTGTTCCCCTCACCCTTAAAGGAAGAGAGGAGCCTGTCCTGGGGGACCCTATGCAGCTGAGGAAGCCCCTAGAGCCCACATCCATGTGCAAGACTTCTCACCTCTGCGGGGCAGGTGAGCAGCCTCTAGTCTAAAAAATGGGGTTCGCTCATGATCTTTGCTATCATTAATTTTCTCCAGATTTCTGTATTGTCACATTTCTCATAGACCAGAAAAAAGAGCAATATATATCATGTCATGGCCCCCACCCTTCCTACAGACTCGTAATCCGCAGCCGAGGGCCATCCTTTGGTGCTGTTCCACACAGGAAAACATACTCATTCTGGTGTTTTCCACATTTCTGTCAAGTGGTCAGTATTACTGAACTCAGACAACAAGGAGTGTGCTCCACCCTTCAGGAATACCCAACCCTCCGAAGGTGGGATATCCCTGGTCAGCGGCTGAGGGCTAACCTCCTTTAGTCCAAGGCACTAGGCTTTTCCTGGATTTCCCTTTGCCCACCATGGAGCTCTGCCAAAGGTCTGGTTTCCTTGCTCTTCCACAGCCAGCCCCCCGCCCTGAGCCAGCTGGTGAGCCTGTACCTTGGGAGGTCACACTTTCTTTGGAAAGAACCCGCCATTATGAGCTGGCTGGAGGAAAACGTCCGTGAGGTTCTGCAAGCAGTGGATGCTGGGGACCCTGCTGTGGAGGCCTGTGAGAATAGGTGAGCTGAGCCTGACAGATGCGTCAGAGAACCTAACTTAGGGAGGGCACCTGCTGGCATGAGTCCTTTGTGTGTCTCCTCCTGGGTCTTTTTCACAGACATAGGGCCTCTGATTTCAGCTTGACTTTGAAGGAGCCACCAGGGGGTCCTGGGCATGGCTACTGCACAGAGATGTGGAGGGGTGTGTGGTTTTGTTTAGTTTGTTTCTGCTTTTGTGCTGTGTTTCCATGCTTGCTATCATGATTGCTTTTCCTACCCTTCTTGACAAAGATTGGAGCCAAAAGGTCACCAGAGCAGCTGACCTCCTCTCTACCTGTGTGGTTTCCTGTAACATAGAACCTGTTACGCTGCGTTTAAGAAGCAGCCCCTTTGCCTGTTTGTGCAGTTTTGCTCATGGTCCCCATGAGCATCCTGGCTCTGTCATCTTCCTGAGCCATGGAATCAGGAGGTCCAGTGTAGACATGAGGCTA